CTATTTCAGGAAGTAGGAACACATATATAACAAAAGATGCCCTTATGGTTCTCATATAGGAAATTACAAGGGTTTGGGGAATTATGTGCCAGGGATAATGGACGAAGACCAAATATATATTTTCTGTCATCAGTCACAATATCACATATAGTTTGTACTTAATTAAAAGTTTAATGTTTACTTAGTGAAAATAGATATGAGTTCAAATGCCAGCTCTAGCAGCAACAATATATATAACCTCACGTTTTGTTTTCTTTTTGTTTAATTCACATAAATATAAGAGAACATTCTTTTTTGCAACTGATAAAGCAGTATAAAAGTGTGCAGAGTAAAACATGAAAGTCTTCCTTTACCCTTTTCTCTCAACCGAAAAGCACAGGATCCCTGTCTCGTTTAACTGTCTCATCTTCCTTTTATGAATTTATGAAAATATTTGGACATAAACATAATAGAATTTAAAAAACAAATGGGATTGTGCTACACTTAGTGTCTTGAAAATCTTTGTATGTTAGCTGCTTTGCATATAATTGCTACGTAAGATTTTGTGATATAAATTCTCCATAGTTAATTGATTCCCAGTTGAGGAACACTCACTTTTTCCTGATTTATGTTATTATAAACATTGCTGCGATTAACATTCTTTTACATCTATTTTTGCAGGCACATGCATGAATATTTTGTAAGATAGATTACTAGAGGTACAATTGCTTTGTGAAAGGGTATATATATTTAAAATTTGCAAATATTTTCTATTGTCTTTGACATACCTAAATTTGATTTGCTAATGTTTTTTTTAGTAGTTTTGCATCTTTGAACATACTCGACAAAGGCCTGTCGTGGATTCCTGCACACACTCTGGGTTGCAATACAGAAAATGTACTTCGAGCTTAGGGGATTAACTCTTTTTGTAGAAAGCAGAAATAAGCCTCCTACAGGGAGACACTATCAGAGTTGCTTGCTACAAACACAGTCCTGAAAAGTGGCCTGGGTAAAGAGCAGCCAGGTCCTCCTTGCCTTCTTGGTACACCATGCAAAATTCTGCAGGGATGCTCAGCACCCCTGGCACATGGCCTCTCCCAGAATCAGTGTTTATTCTCTAGGTACATTCAGTGGTGTAAGTCAGAAACATGTGAATTATCCTTGTCACCTCCTTCTTGTACTCATTTCATCACAAAATCCTGTGGATTTTATCTCCTAAATGTTTTTCAAATAATTCTACTACTTTTTCTACCACCACCTCCCCAGTCTGTTGTCTTCTAGTAATACTCCTACTTTGGCCTTTTAACTATTATTCTTGCATCCACTTCTGCCTTATTCCAATTTATTTTCCCACACTCCAGCTAAGGGTGTTTTTTATAGTCTCATTTGTACACAACTTTCTTCCTTGATCTCTGCAAGGCAGGTATACTGGCAATCTTTTAGTTCCTTAAATATATAAACATATACCATACTGCTATGGATCTTTAAACATTTTATTGTCTTCCCATGTCTCTTGGTTTAGTTAGTTAACTGTTTAGATTTCATATATGATACTTTGTTACCATTTATTCTGCTACAATCCTTGCAAAAGCCACTATGATCTTAATCTTGGATGATAGCCACATTGTTGATCACTGTGTCCCCTTTTTTCTTTCTAAAGTTCTTCTACATAGCAGCCAGGTTGATTAATTTAAAGCATAACATTATTTCCCTTCCATGAATTGAGTCTCGGTGAGATTTAGCTTCCTTCACCTGGATTATAATATCCCATTCATTCTTTCAGTAAATATTAATTCAGCATTTGCTATGTGCTAGACACTGTGTAGGCACTGGAGTATGGCAGGATAGAGACACAAATTTTGCCCTTATAGAGCTTATATTCTGATGGGAAGATTCAGACAAGATACAAAAACATAAGGAAAATGAGTAGGGGGATGAGGGTTTGTAAGTTTAAATAGAGTGTCAGGGAAATGTGACATTTGAACTATGACCTGAAGTTGGTGAGTGAGTGAAGCATACAGGTTTTGGGGGGAGAGTTCTCCAGGCAAAGGTCAGCAAGGGTGAAAGTTCAGGGGCAGAAGCATGCTTGGTGTGTTTGAGAAACAGCAAGGAGGCCCAGTGGCTGGAATGGTGAGTAAGGAGAGAACAGGAGATGAGATCGGGAAGGTCATGGAGGATCAGGTTCTTTCTGGCCTTGCAGACAACTACTAAGAATTCGGTTTTTATTTATTCAAGTTGGAACATTTTTAGTGACTGGAGGGTTTTAGTGACATGATCTGAACAACCATTAAAGAATCACTGCAGTGTTGAGAATAGACATGGGTGATGAGGCAAGGAATCAGGGAGATGACTTTGGAGGCTTTCCTAATAACATAGCGAGAAACAATGGTGTCTTACACCATGGCAGCAGAAGTGGAGGTAGTAAAGAGTGGTCAGATTTTGGATGTATTTGCAAGTAGAACTGATAGGACTTGCATTTTGTGAGATAGCAGAGCAAGTTTGACCTTAAGGTTTATTTCCTAAGCAAATGGACTGATAGATGTTTCATTTACCTAGATGGGAAGAACTGTTGGAGAAGTAGATTTGGGAAGATGTGGATCAGAAGCTCAGTTTGGGTCATGTTCATGTGAGATGGTTATTAGGAGTAGACGTGTAGGTAGAGTTGTTAAGTAGGAGTTTGCAGTTCAGGGTAGAGGTCTGGACTGCACATATACATTTGGAGCTGTCAGTAGGTATATAGATAGCAGTGTATATCAGGGATCCCCAACCCCTGGGCTGCGAACTGGACCCTGGCCTATTAAGAATGGGGCAGCACAGCAGGAGGTGAGTGGCAGGCTAGAGGGAAACTTCATCTGTATTTGCAGCTGCTCCCCAGCGCTAGCGTCACCACTTGAGCTCTACCTCAGATCATCAAGCATTAGATTCTCATAGGAGCACCTGTCCCTGGTTGTCAAAAAAGCTGGGGGCCTCTATATATTATACAATTACCAAGGGAGTGACTGCAAATAGAGAAGTCTCAAGCCCTTCCACTTCAGAGGTTGGTGAAATGAGGAATACTGGCAAAAAAAAACCCTGAGACTGTGCTCTTTACAGAATGCTTCTGCTCACCTGTCTGACTTCATTTCTATTTTCTGCCTCTTCTTCAAAGCCACACTGGCTTTCTATCCATTGAATATGGTAAACTCCTTCCCATCCTAGGACCTTGACACTTTGCTCTTCCTTCTACTTGGGGAATGCTTTCCTAGATCTTTACATGGCTGCTTTCCTTTTGTCACTTAGATCTCAACTCAAAGCAAGCTCCTCAGAGATGCTTTTCTTGGTAATCTTAGCTAAAGCTTAAAGGTGGTTCATACAAGAATATTCACCCACAAAATGGTATACCTGTCTACTTAGAGACAATGATTATTTTCTTTGTTTAAACTCTACTGAATCTTCGTATTTTAATTCCAAATTACAAATATTTTTTCTAGAAAGTTCTTTTTAAAATATAATGTACACTTCATAATTGTATAGCGCAATGAATTTTCACAAATCGAACTCACTCTGAAGAATAAACAGTACACTAGAAGCCCCTCTTGTTGCCCATTTCCAGTCACTGCCTCCTGTCCCCATTGGGGTCATTACTATTCTGACTTAACGCATTATATGCATTTTAGCTGTTTTTATGCCCTCTTTTTGTATTGGGCTTCTTTTGCTCCAGAGTATATTTGAGTATGTAGTTATATAGTTCATTCATTCTCATTAGTTTTTGGTTTACATAGCTTGAGATTATATTAGATGGCACCTAAGGAGTTGTAACTATTATCTTTAGTCCCGTAGATTTATTTTGTCTGAAGTAAATTGAAATCAGGTAGTGTGAGTTCTCCAACTTTGTTGTTCAGTATTTTGTTGCTGTTCTAAGTCTTTTGTCTTCCCACATTATAGTTCCTATGTAAATTTCAGAATTATCTTGTCTGTTTTTACCAAAAAACCTGCTGGAATTTTCACTGGGATTATGTTATGGTCTGTAGATCTAGTGGGGAGAACTGACATCTTAACAGTATTGTTTTCTTATTCATTAACATGGTATGTCTTTCCATTTGTATAGCATTTTTTTCATAAATGTTTTGTAATTTTTAGCAAACAACTTGTACATATTTTGCTAGATTTATATTTAATTATTTTATGTATTTTTGGTACTATTATAAATGGTACTGAATTAAAAAAATAATTTTAGTTTACATTTATTCCTGGTTTAGTATATAGGAATACAATTGAACTTGATATATCAACCTTGTATTTTATGACCCTGTTAAAGTCACTTTTTTTAAAAATATTTTTTGGGATAGTCTATATAGTCAATCAACTAAGTAGTTCTAGTCTTTCTGCTTTAAACATTTTACAAGCTGTATTTTTGTAGATGGTACTTCATCAGGTTGAACAAGTTCCCTTCTGTCCTTAATTTGCTGATTCTTTTTTAAAATCATGAATGGACATTGGATTTTGTCAAATGTTTCTTTCTGTATCTTTTGAGAAAATCACATGGTTTTCCTTTAATTTGTTGGTATAGTGAATTATATCGATTGATTTTCAAAAGTTTTTTTAAAAAAATTAAGCATCAGTTAACAAGTCTTAATTTTTTGACTACTGCATTTAAATCTATATCTGCCTATTAATTAATTAATTAATTAATTTAGTTCGTTAGTTCGTATTTTCTCCATGGTGCTTATCACCACCAGCATACTGTAAGTTCTACTTATTTATTTGTATATTCTGTCTATACTCAGAAATATAAGTTCCCTGGTTTGATCTCTGCTACATCTCCAGTCCCTAGAACTCTGTCGGGACTGAAGTAGGATTCTGTAAATATTCGTTGGATAAGAGAATACCCATGCTCACGGAGTTCATAGTCTAGGAAGGGAGAGGAGGTACACAAATAAAAGGTGATACATTTTAGGAGAACTGTAAACAGAATTCTTTGGGAGCTCAAGATGGGAAAGATTAAGTTCACGTAACGTATTTCTTTTCCTTTTTTCTTTCAGATTTAAAAGAAGATACATCTAGGAAAAGTTCATTTAATGATGCAGAAAATAAGAAGAATTCAATAAAAATGTGGTTTAGTCCTCGAAGTAAGAAGGTCAGATATGTTGTGAATAAAATTTCAGTGCAAACCCAGCCTCAAATTATAAATGAACAAAATGCTCAGCAGGCCTCAATGTACGAATATGTTTCTACAAGTCCTCCAGTAGATGTCTCTGCGAGAGGTAAAAAGGCTTCCACGAGATCTGGGAAAAAGCACAAAAAGAAAACTTTAGCTCAAGTCAACCAAGAATGGAATTTAGAGGCAGACAAAAAAGATGGTGAACTTGACTCCAAAGAGGAATTTAAGGAAAAGCTGGTATCTTTCTGTAGCCAGCCATCTGTTATTGCTAGTCCTCAGATAAATGGTGAAATAGACTTGCTAGCAAGTGGTTCTGTAGCAGATTCTGAATGTTTTGGAAGCGTAACTGAAATCTCTTTACCATTGGCTGAGCAAATAGAGTCTCCAGAAATTAAGAGCAAGAATGAAGTAGTGACTCCTGAGAAGAATTGCTGTGAAAATTGTCTTCCATCTAAGAAATCCGTGCCCTTAGGTCGTAAAGGAAAACGTGGGCTTCACAGGAGACTCCCCAATCCCAGTTCTAAGAGATGCCGAAGCAGCATTCCCAGCACCAGTGGACATTTTGTTAAGCAAACAGCGCTATCGGAAAACACATCATTGCCTGGCTGTTCTTTGCCACCTTCAAGCAAAGTTAAAGTTGGTGGCCCATTAAGGAGGAAAAACAGTGATATATTAGATGACTCCATTAGCCCTTCACCAGGTTTACCACCTTCTACACTGAATAGTCCAAGTTACAGGCGAATGATGTCCAGCCCCTCAGCTGTGAAGCTGTTGCCCAATAGCCTTATGGCCATGAAAAGAAATCATAGAGGAGAGACCTTGCTCCATATTGCTTCAATTAAGGTATGAAGCTTACTTTGAAATATAATTTCCAAATGGTATCAAGTCTAAAACAATTTCTTTAGGCTTTGTGAAGAATGAGATTACTAGGATAATTAGTGTGCCACAGATGAGATACTTTTAAAGATTGAACCAGAGAAGTAAAATGCATGGGGACCGCATCCCCGCCTCCAGGCTATAGCCACTGGGCCTGAGGAACATGATCTTGCAGGAAAAAACCAGTATTTCACTTTTTTTTGCTTGTACTTAAGGAAGTGCTTTTGTTTTTGTCTATTCCATAAAGGTTTTGTTTAGTTTTCACCTTTTTTTTTTAACCCATTCTTCTCATGCTCTATGAATATAGACAGTTGCCAAGTTACTGCTGGCAACATGTCTTTACCTTGCAAAAGAGGTAGGGGCAATGTGACAGGCGGCGGCTTCTATATGTATGACACTCCTAGGGGCACTGCCAGAATTTGGAAGTTTGAAAGATGTGATCTGTATGTTTCTCCAGTGACCTGGAAATTGACTGTGAGAAATGGCTTCCTATGGTTCACTGCAAAAGGAGCTTCTTTGTGACCTACAGCCAGCTTGATTCTCTTTATTTATTGCCTCAACACCTGGGGTGTGGCAGTGTTTGTTTCTGGAATCTGGCTAGTTTGTGGAGCATGGGGTGTGCTTGCAGTGGTTAATGTTTGAAATTGACCCAGCTACTGCACATAAAGAGGAATAGTCAGTACCACAGCTTTATAGACTGAGATCTGGGATTTCATGCAAGTGTTAGGAAGATATGATATGGGAGAGCTTAGTACTAAATTAGGATAGCTTTTATGATCTTTCAGTAAATTCATTGGGAAATCCTTAGGTCCTTTGCATGGATAAAGGACTTTGGGAGGTCTGGAAAAAACCCCATGGATGCCCCCGAACATGAGGCTGGTGAGCAACATAAAACATCCAGGAAGAACACAAAGTAGACACTGAGTTTAGGGACTCCTTTATATTTGCGTGGAGAAAGAGAATTTCTCCCAGCTGTTAGTGTTTTATTTTTTTTTTTCCCTTGCTTTATCGTCCAGTAAATGATGAATGTAAAATACTCTATATCTGATGCAGGTGGAGGGAACCTGCAGCTTGACTACATGCTAGGGATTGCATATACTTTGGACAATTTAAATTTTCAGAGTTGGCTCTGGTTACATTTTAGTTTGATTTTTGCAAAGCATGATTTAAAAATCAGATTGTATTTTTGTCTCTTTGTTATATATAACATATATATAATATATATACACATCAGCTATTATAAATCTTAACATGTTATTAATGCTTTATTGACATAAGTAGCTAGCATAATAATTATTTTTTGTTAATTTTTCTGAATATACGTAAGAATGTAAGCTGCTTTAGTTTCTACATTTTGCTTTCTGGGAATTATTTTCAGACTACCAGGTAAGCATCTGCTTACATTGATAGAGAATTTTTCTTTTACCAATACAACTAATTTATCTTTATTAATGAGGCTATCTAGGACCTAGAGTCTAGGTCATGGTTTGGCAAACTCTTAAAGGGGCAATTAGAGTAAGTATTTTCAGCTTTGCAGACCAAATAGCCTCTGTAACAACTATTCAATTCTGCCGTCCTAGTGCAAAAGCATCTATAGACACTATGTAAACCATTAAAACTTTACATTCAAAGTCAGATTATCTGGCCATCGTCTACCTACCCTTGGCGTAGGCCATGGAGAAAAGCCACAGTAGAATCCTAAGACAGGAACTTTCACCTTCTGAATTATTCAGATACAGTCATTGCTACCAATACTTTCACGTGTTCTTTTTTCTGCCTCATATTCTTTCCTTTCCTTCCCTTTTCCCTTCTGGTCCTTTGTACCTAACTTTCAAAATCTAGCTCATATCCTACCTTCTTAATAAGTCTTTTTAAGAATTCCCAGATTTAGTTTCTTCTCTGCGGTGGACATTATTTTGTTTGCACTTAGATTATTTAGTTTTCTGTTTATTATATGACTCCTCAATTAGATTTTGTGGTTATCCAGAGTATGTTCCTCCTTTAAAATTTAATTTCAAAATATGAGTAATAACTTTATATTTCACAAATAAAAATTAAAGTTGAAAGCCTCACTCCCATTTCTGTCCCAACTACTCTATTGCTGACAAGCCCTTCCCACTTTTTAAATTTTCTTATGTATTTTTTGTTAATTTCTTTATGCAAATATAAGCAAATGTTTTCCATATTAGTACACAACTTACCATACATTCTGTATACTTTTTTCTATGAAGTTACTTTATTTTTTTAATTAAAATTATTGAGGTACACTGATTAATAAAATCAAATGTTTCAAGTATACAGTTCAATAGTATGTCATCTGTATATTGCATTGTGTGTTCACCACCCAAAGTTAAATTTGTTTCTGCCTCCAAATATTTAACTCTCTTTACCCCTATTTTGTACATTTTTATAGTGGCATAGTTTCCATGAATTTTTTTTATTTAACTAGTTTCTTACTGATGAATACCTGTTTTCCATTCTTTTGCTTTTATAAACAGTACGGCAGTAAGCAATCTTTGTTTCATTGTGAGCAGGTATATCTTTAGGATAAATTCCTAGAAGTGGGAATTCTAGGTTAATGTAAAATAAAGTATCTGTTATTTATCTTGGCAGTAGAAGATTCTTATTAAATATTCAAACTACCTAAATATTCAGGCTGCCTGAATGTAGACAGTTACTGTATCATCAGCAGATACTGTTTGGACTG